TATATATTTATAAAAATATTACTGATAATTTTCTATCAGATGTTTAAATATAGATAGTATTTGAAAAATAGTAATATTTTAATTACAGAAATTGCAACTCAATGAACGACAATTCTAATATATCCAAGCACATATTAATGAATGTAAAAAATATATATATATATCTTAAAAAAAAAGTTGTGATAACGTGTTGTGAATATAAGCAAAAGAGACGAATAAGTATAATATCACATATACATCTTTACTAGACTGTATGTAAGCTCATATTACGCACACACAAGTACAGTGACGTTTGCGTATTGCAAACATGTCTTCCGTACATTGATTATATTCCCACCATTTTATATATAATCAACTTCATATGTTTTAATATATATAATAAACTGGAATATTATATTTATATTAGATATGTAAAAGATAAGTAATATTGACAAATTTCAGAGACTAATAAAAATATATTTTAGAATTACAAATTAAATATTAATTAAAAAAAAGAAAGAAGGCAAAATTATTTTGGTGTTTTATACAGAATATAGGTTTCATTGATGATATGGCATACAGAATAAAAACAGATACTTAAACGATATTTAAAAGACGCTTACGTGTAAACATACTATGCATAACAGTCACTTTTTCTTCTTTCAATATTAATAAATTCGATTACTATAAATAATGCAAACGATTTAACGATAAATGCACTGAATTCATATTATCATATAAAATAAAATAGAACATGAATATATCATTATCGATCATGCATATGATTTTAATAGAATAGAGAATTGGATGTGAGCGGGAAATCAAAAGCACTATAATATATTGTAAACTACGTCATGGATAACAAACTAATGACTAAAACTCCTTCTTATTTTTTCCAAATTTTCCAACCACACTGTGATTATTATCATAATTTAAACATTAAACATCAAATTATACGTTATAAAACTATGACGACTACTATAGTACAAGATCCCATATATGCCAATGCATGGCGCAAGTAGCCAAACAGAGATTGAACATACGCGGGTTATAGCCTTGACGGTTGATTTATGACGAAACACTCATGACATAGGCCACGCCACATTTTACATTATAAATCTAGAGTGTCTATGTTTTCACGACAGCAAAAATTGTCACACGATATTTCTTCACATATCTATATATAATAATAACAAAGTACACGAGAACCTTCCTGCTAAACACATCTCTGGGCAGCCATTTGCTATGACGGCTGGTAGAAATAAAAGGTATATGCACAGTATGCAACACAGTAGCACTTCACTAAATAATTGCTCGTATTACGTGTATCATACTATGATGATAGCTTATTAATCAATTATTGGTCGCTGAAATCTGTCAACACTCGAAAAGAAAAATATTTGGATTTTTCTTACCTGAACGATCCTCTACAGCTAAAAGGATTCTCAGCTTCGAATATCGCGACCCCACGCCACTTGTGCGGCATATGAAAGTGTATGGGGAAAATCTGTATTACCATTGGCTTATTTCAGATAAGCCGCAAAAAGTAAGCCAATCAGCATCAACCTTTTATGTTTTGAAGCGTTTCTTTTTACCCCCCCAATAAAATGTCTGCTAGTGGAAAGGGCGGGAAAAATCATGCATGGAAAACCGTCTACACTGTATCATTTGTTTCACATTAAACAATATTTCTTTTTATCATACTGAATAAATATATTTTTAATGATAAAATGTGTATAATATATTTAGTTAGAATAATAACATCTTTTAATAAATAAATATTTTAAATTATTAAGGTTAGAATTTATTATTATTGTAGATGGCACTAGGCTCCAAAAGCTAAATATTAAGGCGCAAATTACAGTACCGCCAACGTGATGCATACAATATTCATATGTATATATATATATATATATATATGTACATTAATATATATTTCTAATTAATGAATTATTTTTTTTATTTTTTGTATTATCGAACAATTAATAAAAAAGAATATTTTTTTATTAAATTTTCTAAAATATTTATATTTAATAATCTTTGATATAAAAAAATAATTATGCATTATTATTTTTATTATAAGTAAATAATATTTATAAAATATTTTTACATTTATTTTAAAATAAATATAATCTATTTTTTTTTTTTAATTATATTTATCATATTTTACTAAGAGAAGAATTAATACTATAATAAATTAATACTATAATAATACTATAATAAAAATTTATAAATACATTATGTAGATTAAAGAGGGAAAAAGGAAAAGAGAGAAAGAGAGAGAGAGAGAATTTATAATATAAAATATTAAAATAAAATAATTGAAAATTGCACATTATATTTAATATTCTGAAATATGAAATATCTATAAATGTTATTAATCTTAACATAATAATAATTATAATAATTTTTAAAATAATATATGCCAATTCATAATAGATAGTTTTTGCTATAAACATGTTAAATTATTTTCATTTATGTTTTTATATGTACATTTAATGTAATTGTTGATTTTATTTTATAATAAACAACATATAAAGAGAAAAAAACTAGAGAAACTTTATTAATTCTAGAATTTCTTACATATAGTTTTTTTTAAAACGCATTACTTATTATTTATTACATTGTTTATCTTTTGTAATTTATAAGATTAAAAATTAAAAATATCAAATAATATTAAAAAATATAAAAAATTTTAGAAAATACATATAATAAATTTCATAATAAATTGAATAAAAAATTAAATAATTGTAATAAAAAAAATAATACAATAAAATATTCTAATTAATCAAATTATATATATATGTATATATATATATATATATATATATATATATACACATATATATACATATATATATATATATATATTTATTTTCTATCAATAGCGAAATATAAAGTTGGTAGAATTGAATTTTATTAAACAGGCATTTCTCAAAGTTAAGTCATATCGTTTATGTGTATATGCACATAGTATATAAATATATACATATATACCTATTTACATTATGCATATATATGCATACATATCTTCAAACAGTATTGTATGAGTCAATGTAGATGTGTAAATAATAAAACGCGGTGAAGTGCTGTAGCAGAGAACTTTAAAGAAATTTGTAGAAACATAAACGTATTACGAGGAGACAGTAGTGTTAAATGTTTGTCTTGTAACAAAATTTTTAAAATATTTACAGTAATATATATATAAAATCAACTCGTATGTTAAATTGTTTGAGAGAAAGAAAGTGAAATGTTATATGACATCGTTTAATATTGAAGTCTTCGTAATACGCAAACTCTAATATTTAAATTATCGATTTCTTGTTTGAATCTTTACATTAAATAAACATTTTTTTTACACTGGCAATTGAAATATAAATTTCTTTGAAGAATTATCAATAACAAATGAAATTCAACGAAAAATTATGAGTGTGAAAAGTAGACATCATCGAGTATATTTTACTTTTAGTCACGCTGTTTTTTGACGCAAACACATACATCAAAAGATATCGAGGTTGTTAAAGTTCTAAATACTCTTCATACCGATTTAGTTGATGTTAAGAATAAAAAAAAATGAATGGATTCAGTACCGGTGAAGAAGATTCCAGAGGAGCTGCTGATCAAATTTGTTGCCTTGTAGATGAGGGTGAACGATGTACTCGGCCAGCTGGCAACGCTTCTTATAGTAAACGTATTCAAAAAACTGTAACTCAGCGACGATTAAAACTTAATCTTGATCAAGTGGTAAGATGATAATGAAGAAAAAATTATATTAACATACACATATTTATCATTTTTTTAACTTTATTTTGAAATTTTTTCTTTGACTTTATGTTATATTTTGTTGTATAATCATTCATACAAGTTATTTTTATAGAATAATAGATATAATTTTAGTGCTCATAATTGATTTTCTAAAATTTTTTGGAATCTTAAAATGATTAGAATATATTATTGAATATGCTATAAAGTATATTGATATAAATATTTATTAAATTTTGATAATTAATAATTTGATAATATTCATATAATTAAATATTATATATAATTTAAGTTACATACATATTTTAAATTATAAAATATATTTTAAATTAATAAATAAAATAAAAATAATGTAATGTTTTTATATTTATTTTGTATTTTTATTTTATTAATATTTCTTTAATTTTTTTTGTAACTTTTTATACAAATAATTAATTTTAAAAAAGATTTTTAAATACATAATCAAAAAATAATATGCTGTTATGTGTCTCATTTATCATTAGGCACGTCATATATACATTTGTGATTACCATAAGCAAGTAATACAATGTGCAAGATCTAAACAACAACAACAACGTAGACGCAAGGATTCAGAGGAAGATTCAGGTGAGACAGATAATGATCTACCTGAAGTTGATCTTTTTCAATTACAAGTTGGCACACTAAGACGGTATAAAAGACATTATAAAGTTTCCACACGTCCAGGTTTAAATAAAGCTCAATTAGCTGATGTAAGTATATTATTATATAAAATATATATTTAAAAAATTATGCATGTTTCATTATTAAATAATCTTCATATAATATGTAAAATTATAATATATATATATATATATGAAGTATATTCTTTCTTTTCAGACACTTATGAAGCATTTTAAAACTATCCCTGTAATTGAAAAAGAAGCATTAAGTTTTTTTATTTATACAGTAAAAACTAATGCCAATAAATTGGATCAAAAAAATGGTTTAAGTAATGATACAACATAGCCTAGGCCTCATTTCAGTTTTGTTATTGTAATAATATTTTATTAGTAAGATCAAAAATATATGTATGGATTTTTACTTGTTAATAGGAATAGGTATTTTATAAGAACTATGTATAAAATACATTAAGAAATATATATATAATAATATATATTAAAATATTGTTTATTTACTGTGTTCTTTTTATAAGATAAATTTTTATACAATTTTGTTCAAAAAAAATATTTTATTGTAGAAAGAACATTTTTTGAAATATTTTGAACACAGAAATTTTGTATAAATATTTACTCATATTTTGATAACATTTACAAATTCATTTGAAGACAAATAATAAAAATTTGTAATGATATAAAACTTTGATTACATTCATTGAAAAAGAAGTCTTATTATTTAATAAAAATGTATATTATATTTTTATATATTATTTTTTTAGTCATTGCATTAAATCTTCTTTATTTAAGATTTCAATAGTTTCTTCTTCACTACTTTCATTTATTTCTGAAATAATAACAATTGATTAATTAATTATTTACTAAAAAAAAAAAAAGTATAATAAATATGATGCAAAATACCTATATTGTCTATAATTTTATTTTCTTCTTTTTTTATTTCATCAGTGATTTCAATATCACTTATTTCTTCTTCTGAAGATTCTGATACATTCCATGTATTAGGTCCACCTTCACCAAATGATGTACTCTGTAAAAATTTTAAAATGTTGATTTATATTAATATTTAATTATATTTTGTGACTAAATGAATATTTACTGTATCTGTTATTAACTCAGCAGAACCTTCTCCAGGTTTTAAAATTGTACAATTTTCAGTAACTTCTTTTCCCATGTTAACTTAAAATAAATATAGTTATTTAAATATAAATATAATTAATAAATGATTATTGAAACAATTGTTCGCTATTAAAAATCAAAGAATTATTTACCATCAGATTCCAATTTTTCTATTTCATCCCATTTGCGTAATTTGATACTAATACATTCTCTATTCATTGTAGTCAATTTTTTAGTTGTTATACATTCTTTAAAACGATTTGTATTTTGATTATCTTTTTTATACCTAAATATGTTTTTAAAATGAATTTAATATTTATAATATAAATAATTTAATATTTATAATAATTTAACATATATTTAATATTTATACAAAATAATAAATAAAAATTTCACCTTGCATTTATATCACTAAAAACTGTTTCTTTAATCTGCTGCACTAATTGAACAGCATAATTTGTTGCATAACTAGAAACTGCTGATATTACATCTTCTACAGTCATAGTTTTTGTTAAATAATTAAAATGTAAACTACAAAGTTCTCTATATGAATTTATACCAAGAGTAAGTTGAGCTACTCCAATTCTTTCTTCTAGATATGTTGGATCCATAACTGTATTTCCACTAAAAATAAAAATAAAAATAAATATGATTTTATGAAAAATTTTATTAACATATTTTCATTAACATATATGGAATCAAATAGTTAACCTTTCAAATGTTATAAAAGAGACGCATACAGGATAATGATATAATGTTAAAGGTAAAGGATCCTTTTCAGAAAATGGATGAACAATAATATCTTCACCATTTGAAGTTACATCAGGTCTATGAAAATGTGAAAGAGCAGCTAATGTTGCAATGGAAGCACAATCAATTAAATTTCCATCATGATTAATAACATTAATATCAACTCTCAAATTCCATACCTATATTAATTATTAATATTTAATAATATTATATTTAATTTAATAATATTCATTTCTTCATATAATTTATTATATACTAATTACAAGAGTTTTAGTAATTATAGATTATTAAAAATTTTCAAAATTATTTAAAAGAATATATCAAAATTAATTTAAAAAAATATACTTTACCTTTTTATCAGCTATAATACACAAAGATTCTAGATCTATACATTTGGAATCTTGGTAACATTTTTCAAGTTGGCGGCTAATTAATATTGAAATTTCAGATTGTCTACCACTATCAAAATGTTGTGCAGCCATTGGATTAAGTTCAACATTTATATGTAACATTCCTTCATTAGGACGAGAAGTCTTTGGTTGTTGAATATCACAAGTTACTTGTGCTATAACTCTGTAATAAATTTGTTATTTTACATTATTATATAATATTTATTTTAATATAATATTTTAATATAATATTATATAATATTTTTTTAATATTTAAATAATAAATCATTTATATATATAAAATAAAAAATATAAAATAAATATATAATCTATAATTAATGTTTATTGATCAATATCAAATATAGAAAAATTTTATGTAAAAAAAAATAAATTTTAAATGTTATAATATTTTTAAAAGATTGTCATATATTAAATTGACATTAATTTTACCTTGTTTGACCAAGCAAAACCATACAACTACCCCAATTAGATGCAAAATAAATTTTAACAGGTCGTGCTTCCAATAAACTTCTACCATCTAATCGCTAAAACACATTTTAATAAACTTTTAACTTTTATTTTATAAAGTAAAATTTATTTTATTTATTATACATTATTTTATAAAATAAAATATTACATACTATTCCTTGTTCAACTGATTTATTTACAAAATTTTTTTCACAATTTGATAATAGAATTTCCTTCATGATTTAAAATATCTATTTACAATAAAGATATATATAGATTTTAAAAAAGTATAACCTTTAATTCAAATAATGATATAATGATTATTATATAAATTTTATATTTTGTTATTTTATCACTATTTTTGATTATTTATAATATAAATTAATTTTCTTTTTCATGTTAATATAGTTGTAAATAAAATATAAATATTTTTAAACACTATCCCATTTCATTTTTTATTATCGACATTTATGCTGACAACATAAATTTATTAATCGATATTTTATTTTCGAGATAATCGATTTATAAATAGATTATGTATATTATTTTATCACTATGAAAAGTAATAATGGAAAATAATAAAAAATAATTAAAATTAATTAAGAAAATTTAAAATTAATTTTACTAATTTTATTTATAAATATTAAATTTTATTTATTATTACGATATGTAACAAATATAATTTTTATATGTAAGATTATATATTTATTATTAATTTAAGTTTAAAAATTATATATAATTATTAACATTTTTTACAATTTTTTTGTAATTTTTATATTTTTTTAAATAATAATCTTAAATAATGAGAATTAATGTTTAAATATGAAAAATATACATTTATTCAATTAGAATATAAAAGAACATATATTAAATTGATTTTTCATTCTTATAATATATGATTTCTTCCAATCGATATTGTCTGAAAATATAATATATATTGATAACATTTGACATCATCATTCAACATATGAACGTCCCTTAATATTTCTTATTAAAAAATTGTTTTTTTTTTGATTCTTTTTAAATTTTAATGTGATTTTATTAATTAGAATCGAAATACTGAAATAAAATATTTAATAACAAAATAATAATTTCAAGATATTATAAAAGTAAATAATATTAAAAAATTGATGTATTAGTTACGCGCTCGCGCGTATTGTATATATATATATATATATATATATCTACACTACACAAGTGGCCATGCCCGGTCATATCTGCTTCAATCAGCTTAGTTTATACGATCTGTTTTTAACGTTGAGTCTTGTCGTCAATAATCCGAATTCTATGATTCAATAACTGACGAATATTGTATCTGTGAATTTTTAAAACTTCACATAATCTTAATTTTAGTGTTTGGTAAAAGTTGTATTTAGATATCATACGCGTTTCGTATATAATGCTGATCACGGTACGCGTGATACGTACGGATAGATACATATAGATAGGGCCGATCTGTGGAATGGATGCTTAATAAGTTACGTTTCGCGTTGCTTATAATCATTTTTCTCGAAATCTTTTATAACGTTTGCTTTTAGTTATTGTTGGTAAGTTGTATTACCATTTAAAAAGCATATCTAATTTTATTTTCACTTCTACTGACTATTCTTTCATTTTTCTGAGTAATGCATCGTAAGATAGCTTTTATATTGTTGTTGTAGTAGCGATTGCCTTTGTACGTCATCTGTAGGTAAATATCTGTTACATTTATCTCTCTTTCGTTACTTATATGTCTTTAATGTTTCCAAATATTTCATTGTTTTCTTTTTTTTTTGTTAATGATATTTTTTTTCTTTTTCTTAGTGTTTTATATTTTTAATATCTTGTTTTTCAAAAAGGTATGTGTGTTACGTTAATGTATACCATTTTTTGATTGACTTAATGAAAAGTTTCGGTGTTTATATGTTTGTATAGAATTTTTTGACAAATTATAACTATAAAAAATATATAAATTTATATAAAATATAATTTTATTAGATAAAATTTTATTAGATAATTTTATTAGATATTATATTTAAATAATAAAAATCAAATATTTATAAAATTTAAAATTTTCTTAATACTGTATACTAATTATATAAACAAATACAGTAATTAATACTGTAAATTATATAAACAAATACAGAAAATTTTATAATTATTATATTTAAAATAAATTACATACATAGTGTTAAAATATATAATATGTTAATCAATATTAAAAATTAAAATCAAATTATAAATTTATATTATTTGTATTAATTATTGGTTTGCTAGAAAAAAAATATATGTATCATGCTTATTATATAGTTTACATTATTTTAAATTTTATACATTTTTATATTCCTGCAGAACTTGAAACAATTATCAATGATGCTGTTTTATTAAGGTCATGACAACAATTTGTTATGTGCTTTCTATAAATTATATTTGTGGTAAGTAATAATTAATATGTTATCATTATTATAAACTTTTATTTAAATGCTTAATATTTATTATTAAAAAAAATTAATATAATAAAAATATAATATAATATAATATAATATAATATAAATATAATATAATATAATATAATATAATATAAATATAATATAATATAATATAATATAATATAATAAAAATATATATTTTATTTTATATATTTTAAAAATAAAGAAATAATTATAGTTGATTTATAAATTATATCATATTTATCTGATTTATTATTTATTTTATATATTTTTTTATCAAATTTCAATTTTGTTTACATTAATTAAAATTTAAAATAATAAATCAATAAAATATATAAAATATTATGTGTAGATTATTGTGGTTTTGGATAAATCATTCATTTCTTGGTCAAAATATTATAAAGAATTTCATACAATTATGGAATCAAATGATAGGAAAAATGTTTACCTTGCAAAAACGGGTGATAATTCTTTGAATTCTGGAATGAGAGACACAATGATTGTTGGTCAGACAAATATGACACAAGGTGAAAAATTTATTTAATATATTTGAAAACTTTCATTAAATATTCATATAAATAATATAAGCATAAAATTATAAAATATTAATCAAAAAACATATAATTATCTTATAAATATATTTATTAATTGTTTAATTATTAGAATGTGGTGAACCTGTAATGAAACCTGGAAATGTATCTAGTGTTTCAAATAATCAAGCAAAGTGGTCTAATACACAAAGTAAAAATTTTATAATTAATGCAGTTCCAGTAAAAAATGAAGTAAATATTATAAAATAACATTGATAATAATTTATATAATGTACATTTAAAATACATATTAATGAAATTATATTATATTTTTAGATCGTTCATCTTGAAGATGGAGCACATTGCAATAAGAAAATGTATTATTATGATAGACATTATACTGGCCATGAAGAAACAGAGAGACCAACACGTAGAGGAACAAAAAGATATAGAGATAAAGATGCACCTAAAAGAGCATTGTATGTTGTATTTGTATATTGATTAATATTTTGATAGTTTAATATTTGTTTATAAATTTTATTTTAGGTCTGCCTTTTTCTATTTTTGCCAAGAGTTACGTGGGAAAATGAGAGAATTACATCCAGAAATGGGAGTAGGTGACATTGCCAAAGAATTGGGTAAATTATGGATGAGTACAGACCTTCAAACTAAATCAAAGTATATGGCAATAGCAGAAGAAGATAGAGCCAGATATGAAAGAGTAAATAATTTATTAAATTTTTTTATTAATTAAAAAATAAAATTTTTATTAATTTTTTATTTTTTAAGGAAATTATTGCATATAATAAAAGAGTAAAAAACTATGATCCTGAAGAAGTTGGACCTGTATAAGTTTTTAAATCTATTAAAAAAGAAGGGACAATGTATTTTGCCCTAAGACAAGCACTCGCCAATTAAAAATGTATAACAATTTTATTAATAGTTTAGTATTGTCAATTGTTGTATATATTATGTACACTGTTGGCATTAACAAATCTGAAAAAAAATTATAAGCTATCATATTTGGTTATAATTATTTTTCAAATAGTATTTGAAAGCAATTATTCTACATTTATTTTGTAATTGGATATTATTTTTTGTGAATAAGGTGTGCTAATATATTTACAAATGATACCTAATACAAGTAATAATATTAATATCAATAGTAATAATAATGAAAATGATAATGAAAAGTATGATGCTGATAATAATAATAATAATATTATTATTATTATTAAAAAATGATGATAATCTATATTGCTATTAAATATGTTATACAATTGAAGCACAATAGCAAATAAAAGTCAAGCAGAGTGAGCTTTGTACAGTGCACTTTTCTTGTCTAATTATGCATTATTCATGTTTATAATGATAAAATTAGATATCAGGGACTATTTATATCTAAAACCCTGTATAGAACACATATTCCATGTATTTTGTTCTTTTTCCAATAAAGATAAAATCATTTAAAGCATTTATAATCCTTAAATTCTTGTTTTATTTTTTAAACATTATTTTTCAAATTTTATTAAAATTGTGAAAAGGTATAATTAACATAATTTTTTATTAGAAACTAATTTATTTGATTTCATTCTTTTTTTGTAAAATTACACACCAATTTCCTTGATCATAATATGCTTCATTTATTGTAAAATTTGGTATTTCTAAACATAATTGCGACAATTCATTTTCTTCAAATACATGATAATATCTAAGGAAATTTCCTCCTCCTTTTCTTTTCCATGGAACAAGCATGTCATTGCAAATAAATTTTGTACGATTTTCATGTATTGGTAATGTTACACCATATTCTGTTAACTTCTGCGTGTATGAAATATTATCTTCTTTTTTAATTAAATTATATCGCAAATAAGCTGTTTGGATAGAATCTTTTTCTTGTTCTTTTGCCCACACATAAATTAAACATTTTCCATTTGGTCTAAGAATTCTTGCTAATTCAAAAATTGCTTGTTTTCGTCGTTCATGAGTTGAAAGATGATGAATTACAGCTATACATATTATTGCATCCATACTATTATCTTTATAGGGTAAATATAAACAGTCACATAGGAATATTTCAAAATTTTTATTCCGACATATTTTCATTAAATTATAACTTCTATCACATCCAACCTATATTATTAAAAGTTTTTATTTTATATACTATTATATTATATACAATTATAGAATGAATAATTCATACCTTAAATAAATGTTTATCTTGATAGAGATATTTACCATTTCCGCATCCTACATCTAATAAAATATCACCTACTTTTAAAGATTGAAGAAATTTTGATACATTGGGCCATTGTTTATGTCTTGTTTCATCAAAATGATTTGAAATTTTGTCATAAACCTATATGAAAATTTATTAAATATAAATAATATAAGTAATATAATATATATAATATAAATAAAATCATATGATATGAATAAAAGATATTTTATAATACATACATCATGTACATAAGAGGTTTCTATTCCTAGCGCTATTTTATTATCAATAATAGTAATAGAATTATTTTGTTTTGTATCACAATATTCAGGAAAGTTACAACAACAATCACCCCTATGAACTTTTCGAAATGTAAATGATACTCTGGTTCCCCGTGATTGAGTTGTTATTCCATTTGAAGTTTGTACTATATCATTATGTCTAGGACAAATTCCATGTGACCATGCATAACGAGCTTCTCCTGATATAATTAATAATGAACGTGGAGGTAAAAAAAGAGAAGCTTTTTTATTTTCCTTTTTAAAATTCATTATGCATGCTGAACCTAATGATAGTGATAATATACTATCCTCAAAAACACTATGTGTATCAATATGAGATGGAATACCTAATATAAAATATAAAATATTAAAATATGAAAATATAAAATATTATAATTCTAATTATACTTTAATTATACTTTTTTTTGAAAAGATTAATATTAATCATTAAAAGTTAAAATTTACCTTGACCAGGTAAATAATGATTAATTGTCAGTTGATCATATTCATATGAAACATCATGATATTGTTTAAATAATGTTTGTAAAAATTGATAATTTTTAGGTATAGGTATAATAGGTTTATCCAGATCTACTTTATTTGTATCATATTGAAATTCATATCCAAAATGTTTAACTTTTCTATGTTTTAAGTCAGATGATCCTAAAATTTAAATAAAAAACAAATTTATATTTAATAATTAAATTATTAAATTTAATTATTAATTATTTAATTTAATTTTTATTATTTAATTTCTAACATAACATTTTTTTTATATAAAAACAAGATTTTTATTACCTTCATTATTCCAAGTAATTGTACTTAATAACATTTTTTCTTCTTCTTCAGTTATAAAATTTTCAATTAATTTAATACCAGAAGGTAGATTTAAAGACCATTCACAATTTAAATCAGGAACTAAAACAAAAATATAATATCAAAATATTGAAAATCTTTCTTTATTTCTTTATCTATAGATGAATATGTTATATTTTCATTAATACTTAAAATTAAAATATATTCTATATATATAAATTAAATACCTGATTCTGTAAATGTTGTATACAATGGTGTATTTTGTCCATTAATTTTAATGTTACCATGAATTTTGTTATGTATATATATAGCATCTTCTATTGAATAAAATTTAATGAAACAATATGACTTATTTGGCAACATTATTAAATCATATTTATTAACAAATAGATTTATCACATCTTGTAATGTTTTTCTTTGTAATCCAGTTACTAATCCAGCATTGCAAATCATTATATACTATAATAAAGTAAAATGATAAAGTAAAATATTTCCAATGTTTTTATAAATAAATCTCATAAATAAATAATAACCTGTGTAGGATTATTACAACATTTAATGTTCATATCTCTAAGAAGCCTATGATATGCTCGTTTTTGTTTACGATAACTTTTTTTAGTTAATTTATCTTCCATTTTTTAATCTCTTTTTTATCAATTTGTTAAATTAAATAGAGACAAAGTATAGAATATATTAACCCTAATTAAATTTAGTTTTATATGTATAATATAGTTTTATATATATGTATCGGAAAGAACAGCACTTGCTTATATATTTATCATTTTAATATCACTTTCAACATTATCGATTGAATAAAATATACCATAGAATAAAATTCCAATATTAATATATCCAAAAATATATATAACAATTATAATTTCACATGTATGCAGATTATAAGTACACGATATGTCTTATAAATAATTTTCATTCTTAAAAAAATTATAGAAAACTTTTATATATCATCTTTTCTTAGATTATTATTCTAATATAAAATTGAAATCTTTGATAACAAAAAATTTTAATCTAGATTTATAATTTTATATCAGGAGAATAAAATTGAAAAAAATGTGATATACAAAATTTTTCTCGATTTGATACGAAATATAGAAATATAAAGTATTTTTTGCTATAAGTTTAACAAAAAAAAAACAAATTAAAACTTAGATAGTAATGCCATCTCATGTTTGGATATTAGAAACTTCTTTAGATTTTTTATTAGTATAGCAGAATATGCAAGGAGATATTCATGTCACAGAGAACATTATGCAAGAATTATAAAGAAAACTATTATTTTAATTATTAATTAATAATTAATTTTTTATCAAAAATTTTTGTATTTTAAAGCATTTTAAAACTGAAATCTCAAAGAAGTTTCTTATATTAATTTTAATTTGAAATTTTTTTTAATTAATTATTTATTATTTATTAGTAATAAATTAATTGTTAAAATTAATACGAAACTTTTTTGAGATCTTAATTTTAAAATATAAATAAAATATAAATATTTTTCCAAATATTTTTAGTAGAAAATTATTTATTAATTAATTTCTAGCAATATAGCAATATAGCGTGATAGGAAGTACTAGAAACTATATAATCAAAAATATAATGTGACACATTTTATTTATCTTTCTCGTACTGTTACTCTCCTCTATGATGTTATAAATACCTCCTTATACACTGTTATTTAATACCAGTCAGAGCTTCTAGCATTTATCCGCGAGATGGCATCACTAAATTTTTCCATTTTCTTCTAATATATATTCACATTTTTATGATTGAAAATTTCTAGTAAAAAAATTTCTATGAAAAATATTTGGAAAATAAATGTAAATGTATAAAGTAGGGAACTTACAAAAATATCAAGGAAAACAGGAAAAAAAAATTTCTTGGAAGAAAAAAAAAAATAAAAAATATAACGATAAAAAATACATGCGATATACATTAAAATACAAAAATATATATAAAATATAATACGATATATATGAAAAAAGAAATGTATATAAAATATATTACGATATATAATGATAACGTATATATATTTATATATAAACATTTTAATATACGTGATATATAGAGATATTCAATTTATAATATAATATAATATAAAAAAAATATATAATATAATATAATATAAAAAATAAAAAATATCAAGATTTTTATTGATATAAATTGATTTCTGGTCAAATTGATCATTATAGAATCGCGAAAAAAACTTTTTAAAAAAATTATTGCTTCATCCATTACGCTTTTGTTTATCAACGAAATATTTCCATAAGAGCGTTACTCAGATCATGTTCTATCCAGATTCACCGAAGATGGTACAGGTCTTATCGATGCTGAACCAACAATGTCGCGTACGAACATGATCGCGCGATCCATGGTTCACCATTTCCTCGGCGGATGAAGTGAAAGCCATGATCGAGGCTGGAGTAGAATGTAAAGAAGTCTATGCGATTCGAGAGAGGGAAACCGCTTTGCTGTCCAGTTACTCCAAGGCAAGCTGAAAGGAATGTTGAGCGGTGTGCATCGCAACGCCAACGAGTTC